TCCCCGCCTGCGTCTCTAACGCAGCTCGCTGCCCATGAACCTTCCCGGGGTAGTTCGCAACAGAAACATTGGCGCCGATGCACATGCAGGCCACGGCTCTCATGATACTGTTATGATCGCCGAGCATCTTCCACACATGGTTTAACATGGCGCCCTCGCTTCTGCCCTCTTTAACGAACACCGTCTTACCGTTGACCACCAAGCCAACCTCCGAATCATCGGACTCCAACGACCAATCGCGAACAGCTGGGCCATCGGGAACTCCTGGGCCGCCGCTGCCGCTGGCCATGCTGGCGCACGGAGCAACTGCCGCTGAGCATCTGGATGGGGAAAAGATGCCGCAACTGAGTGCAGTAACTTTGGCCGCAAACATCTGCGGAGCATGTCAGCACTCAGTGGCTGGTGCTCACCCATGTCTCCTCTGCAAGGCGGTTTGGTTAGTGGCCCGCATGTGTTTAACGAGCGACTCGCTGCTGATGTGCTTGCTTAATGCGTCGGCAAAATTATCACGAATCTCCACCTCAACTACTAAAATGCTGCCTTTCCACCTTTCTCCTGCTGCCACAGCTGACATACTGATGTGTGTCTGACGTTCCCTAACCACTTTTACTAGCAATGGCGACTGCGGTTGTAGCATCACTCTTGACAACTATCGGCGTCGGGATGTTAAACTCCCTGAGTTATTCTTGCAGGCCTAAACCTATCGAACCAACTTTGACAATTCCATAGTACTCCGATTATCAAGACGACAGTGCAATGACAGTTTGGGGGGTGCTCCACGACTTTATGAAGTGCTCTCCCCACATAACCACCCCCCCGCTTGTTGACTTGCGGTTTTTCTTGAAGCCTGCGCAGTTGGTATCGGTGCACACCACGAACTCCTGGAGAGGGACTTGGCACTTATACAGCTAACTGTAACTACTCTGGCGGTTGAAGTATTTCCCCAGTTTCTCAGGGTTCTTCCAGGCTCCAATCGTCAGCTTTGCCATGTGTCTGGCTAGCTCCTTCACCGCATATTGAATGTCTGATCTTCCTGCTCTAAATAGTTGTCACGTGCTACTGACGCCTGGCATGTGCGAATGTCTTGACCAAAAAAAAACTTCCCCCTCGACCTCGTTCCTGGGCAGCTTACCGCCGGAACGCTCGACTTGGCTTTGTTGGACTTCCACGGACTTTGAACTCAAGTTTCTTTTGAATCCCTGCTTCGAACCAGTCTAAATTTGGTTTGCTTCCTGAAATTGTGTCATCGTCGCCGCGCTCACGCGTTTTTTCTTTCGTGTCTGAGCACACACACACACACACACGGCGACGCTAACCGACTGGCCAACCCGAAATTCTCGGCGAAGTCCATGTAAGAGAGAGCGTGATCCACCGCCGCTTTACTGTGGAAAATTGCCAACCTTTTCCTCCGGAACCCGGGGGTCGTCGCCCCCCCCCCCCCCCTCCGAAAATGCCCCCCCCCCTGCTGGAACCCCTCCCCCCCCCCCCCCCCTCCCCCGGCAAAACCCCCCCCTCCCCTAACCCCCCCTCCCCCCCCCCCCCCCCCCGCCCTCGAAAAACCGGGGGGGTCACTACCGGTTCGAACCCCCCCCCCTAATCCGGAAAACTGGAGGGGGCCACTACCGGTTCCCCCCCCCCCCCTCCCCCCCCCCTACTCACCGCCAGCAAACGACTCCCGGTCCCCACCACCGTCCGCATCACATCCCCCACTGGTGTTCCCAGCACCACTGTCCTCACCACCGCTGTCCCCACTGGTTCCACCACCGCCCCTACTGTCCCCACCAGTGGCCCCACCACTGTCGCACTGTCCCCGCTGTCCCCAGAACTGTTCCCACCACGGTTCCACTCTCCCCACTGTCTCCACGGCCCCAACCACTGCCCGACTATCCCCACTGTCCCCACTGTCCCACTGACTCCTCCGCTGTCCCACTGAGCTGTCCCACTGTTCCCACCACTGTCCCCACTGTCCCCACCACTGTCCCCACTGTACCTCTGTCCCATTGTCCCACCGCCGTCCTCGCCACCGCCTTCACCACTGTCCCCACCACCATTGTACCCTCCACTGTCCCACTGTTTCCACCTCATTCCCATTGTCCCCACACCACTGTCCCCACCACCACCGTCACCACCACTGTCCACTGTCCCCCCCTGTTCCCACCATTGTCCCCACCACTGTCCCCACCACTACCGTCCCCACCACTGTCCCACTGTCCCACTGTCCCCACCACTGTCCCGCTGTCCCCTCACCACTGTCCCCACCAACACCGTCCCCACCACTGTCCGCACCCCCACTCGGTTTTCGAGGGGGGGGGGTTCGAACCGGTAGTGACCCCCCCCGGTTTTTCCGATCGGAGGGGGGGGGGGGGGGGGGGGGGGGGGGGGGGGGGGGGGTGGGGGGGGTGTGGGGGGGGGGGGTTCGAACCGTAGTGAACCCCCACCCCTTTTCTGATGAGCATGGGGGGGGGGGGGGGGAGGGGTTCGAACCGGTAGTGAACCCCCCCGTTTTTCCGGAGGGGGGGGGAGGGGTTCGAACCGGTAGTGACCCCCCCCCGGTTTTCCGCCAGCAGCGGTAGAACACGCTCTTTCCCATGTAATAGACCCCTCAATTGCTCTCGGCGCCGCGGGTACCATACGTAGACTTGAACTGCCTTCCGCACATTCCTGGTCATTTTCTTCCTCTACTAGCTTCACAAAGACGTCCTTTCTCGCCTTTGCGTAGAAACACGATCGCCTAACAGCAACGAATCCGAACTTCATTCCTAGTTTCCTTTCTCCTTTTTGGTATCACATCCTTTCCGTGACCGCCATGGAGAATAACAGTCTGTGCCTCTCAGGAACCTACGAAAAATGGCGACAGAAACGCCATTGGCGGTCTCCTAGGCAGCAGCGAAGACTCGCGGGACTAGCGCCTCCGCTGCACCTCCCAGGAGCCCACGAAAGTGGCGACAGTTCCGCAGTTCGCAGCCTCGACCCGACCTAGGAGTTGGAGCCTCTAGGAAAGCAACATTTGTAGTAGCGCTAAACGCCGTCCTCCTCCTTCTCCCCATCGTCGTAGTCGTAGCAGTAGCGATAGTAGTAGTAGTAGTAGTAGTAGTAGTAGTAGTAGTAGTAGTAGTAGTAGTAGTAGTAGTAGTAGTGTAGTAGTGGTAGTAGTTAGTAGTAGTAGTAGTCTGTCGTCGTCGCGTCTCGTCGTCGTCGTCGTCGTCGTCGTCGGTCGTCGTCGTCGTCGTCGGTGTCGTCGTCCCGTCGTCGTAGTAGTAAGCGTAGTGGTAGTACTAGTATTAATAGTAGTAGTCGTTCGTCGTCGTCGGTCAGTAGTCAGTAGTAGGTAGTAGTAGGAGTCGGAGTACGTAGTAGTAGTAGTCGTCGTAGTCGTAGTCGTAGTAGTAGTAGTAGTAGTAGTAGTAGAGTAGTAGTCGTAGTAGTAGTAGTAGTAGTAGTAGAAGAAGTAGTAGTAGTAGTAGTCGTAGTCGTAGTCGTAGTCGTAGTCGTAGCCGTAGTCGTAGTCGTAGTCGTAGTCGTAGTCGTAGTCGTAGTAGTAGTAGTAGTAGTAGTAGTAGTAGTAGTAGTAGTAGTAGTAGTAGTAGCGCCAGAACCGCCGACGCCAAGCCGTAAGTGAAGCAGCAGCAGAAGCAGGCAGCAAGTCGCCGAGGCAGCAGTAAAAGCAAGCAGGCACGGAGACGAGAGCTGCTACATATATATATATATATATATACACATATATACAGCAGCAGCAGCAATAGTGGATGCTGTCCTGCGCTATGCTATGCTATGATATGCTCTGCTATGATATGATATGCTATGCTATGCTATGCTATGCTATGCTATGCTATGCTATGCTATGCTGCGCAATGCTATGCTGGGCTAGGCTAGGCTAGGCTATGCTATGCTATGCTGCGCGATGCTACGCAGCGCTATGCTATGCTACGCTATGCTATGCTATGCTTTTGCTTTGCCTTCGCTTGTGCCTTCACGTTTGCCTTTGCTTTTGCTGTTGCTTGGCACCCAGGGAGCGCAACTGGGGGAACCGCGCGTTTGCTTTTACCTTTGCTGTTGCTCTTGCTTGGCTCGCAGGGGACTGGGGGAACCGCCCGGGGCGGTTTCCACTGCCCGGCCCCTTTAAGCCAAGCGAGTAAGAACCCTTCCAGGCAGAGCCTAGGTAGGGAACAACAAAAATCCGCCGACCCTGCCGACGTGTGTCGGGGGTCTGTCTGGTCCCGTCAACGGGGAGCCATCTGTCGTCCCCTCCTTCCCATCCTCCTCTCCCGTCGGGGGAGAGAAAGAGAAAGAGAGAGCATCCTTCCTCGTTCGGGGAACGGGTTCGCAACTTGAGGGAACTCCATCCACGTCCTCAATACGTCAAAGGGAAGCCCCTTCCCTTTGTCCCTTCCCCGGCGGGGGGGAGGGGCCCGGAGGAAGGGGGGGGGTAAGATTCGCTTCGCCTCTGGGGGTCCTCCTGTCCCACGCCGGTCCTCCTCGGGTCCTCCTCCCCAGGTGGGGAGGAGCCCCAGGGGTGGAGGGGGTAGTCAAATACGCATCCGTCCCTGGGGGTCCTCCTCCCGCTGTGCTCCCCTCTCCCACTCCTCCCCTCCTCGGGTCCTCCTCCCCAGGGGGGGGGGCCCAGGGGGGAGTCCTTTTCCTCCTCCTCCTCCTCCTCCTCCTCCTCCTCCTCCTCCTCCTCCTCCTCCTCCTCCTCCTCCTTATCTCCGCCTCCTCCTCCTACTCCTCCTCCTCCTCCTCCTTCTCCTCCTCCTCCCCCTCCTCATCGTCGTCGATGTCTTTCAGGGTCGGCGGCACCGGCCGTCAGGCCCTCACAATCCAGAGTATCCACGCTGGCGCAGCTTTGGCCAAACTGGCCGATTTCTCCACCCTGGTGGGGATGCATGCTGTTCCCTTCGGGTTTCGCGGGACACATCCCCTCCTGGGCGAAAGACCTGGTGGGGCGAAGGTACCATGGCCAAATGGCGACGGGGATCTGTCAGACGATGCTCGGACCACGCCTCCGTCACCAGCTCGCCGCTCGATGCCGACCCGGCCGGGTCGAGCCGCTCCGCCGCCTTCTCCAGGGCGTCGCCGCTGACACGGGCGAAGAGAGCGCACGCGCGCGCGCGCCGAAGCGCCGCCACGCCGCTGCGACGACGACGACGACGACGACGACGACGACGACGACGACGACGACGGAAGCGCGGGTGGCGGCGACGGCGACGGCGACGGCGATAGAAAGGCGGAGGTCTGGGGGTGGTTTGGGGGACTCAAAGAATCGGGAGATAGTTCCGCCGACCCCAGCTTTCCGAGGGTGACAAGGCGTGTGAGACATTTGGCCGTCCCCCCCCCTGTCCCCCTCCCCCAGGGTCCAAAATCACATTTGAGAAGGGTACGAGCTCGCAAACGCACCCCTGGAGCCTCCAGAGCCCCAAAAATCTTCCCTCCGTGGCCTCCGAGACGCCCAAGATACCATTTCAGCTGGCTCAAGCTGGGCTCCAACATGCTGAAGAGGCCTCCAATCACTCCAAAGATAGCCCCAAGACGGCCCAAGAGGCATCCAAGGCGTCCCAAGAGGGCTCCAAGAGGAGCCCGCAGAAAGCCCTCAAGCACAAAACGCCCCAACCCCATTGTAAAACATGCATGTTTGGCATGTTCACCTTTTTGGTGCCAGCATCGTCCAAGGCGGCCCAAGAAGCTCCCAAGATCGCTCCAAGACGGCCCCAAAAAGAAACTTAGACGGCCCAAGAGTGTCCCGAGACGACCCAAGAGGGCCCAAGAAAGCCTTCAGAGGAGCCCAAGAGGAATACTTCCGAACTCACATGTCGAGCCTTCCGCCCCACGAGGCCCCAAAACCAACAGCGGGCGCCCAAGAAACTCCCAAGAGGCCAAGTCAAGCTTCCAGGGGGGCAAAGGCAACAAAAAAGAAATCATCCGAAGGCCTCGCCCGTGGATGTCTTGCCTCTTCTCGGGATCGGCGGAATGGCGTAAGCACGACGGGGAAAGAGCGACGGAGGAACGAGGAGGGGGGAAGGACAAGCTAGGTGCGCTCGCGTCATATCTGACGTCCTGCCCCTCCCTCCCAGCCCTTACCATGGCGTACAAATCCTCTCGAGTCGCACAATCGGATGTCCCAACATGGCATAGCATGGTGTTGAAGATCAACGCGTAGCATGACATAGCATGACGTGGCGACGCCCCAAAGTGGGCGGGGCTTCTGCGGCCCCCAAAAAAACAACGAATCGACACCGACTGTGTAAGCACTTCCAATGGTTTAATCGGGAGGCCACTTTCCAGATCCTGGGGCCTATTTGGAAAGACCAAAAACCATGCCGTAGCATGGCACTGAAAAAAATGACGCCAACGCTGCAGCGGGAGCACAACTCGGAAAGAGCGGAAGCGCGGAAATGAGGCGCCCGAAAATGAGGCCAGTCCTTCAGCGAGAGCTTTCCCCCTCCACACACACACACACACACACACACACACCACACACACACAAAAAAAAAAAAAACGCGGAAACGCAGAAATGAGGACGCGTAGCCTGACATAGCATGGCGCGGCGACGCCCCAAAGTACGCGGGGCTTCTGCGGCCCAAGAAGAAACAACGAATCGACACCGAATGTGTAAGCACTTCCGATGGTTTAATCGGGAGGTCATTTTCTAGATTGTGGGCCCTATCTGGAAGAACCGAAAACCATGCCGTGGCATGGCGCTGGAAATAATGACGCCACCGCTGCAGCGGGAGCACAAGTCGGAAAGAGCGGAAGCGCGGACAGGAGGCCAGCGCTGCAGCGGGAGCACGGTTCGGAATGAGCGATAGCCCGAAAACAAAGCCAGCGCTTCAGCGAGAGCAACATTTTGGGGGGGGAACACCCAAAGAGAACCCCCAACTCCCGGGAATCCTGTCTAAGAAACCAGTACGCGAAGGGGGGCCGAACAATCCCTGAGCGCCACCAAGGAAGAGAGGAAAGTAGTATTCATATTGTGTAATTGTGGAAGGAGGAAGCTGCTCCTGCTCCTCCTCTACCTGCCCCTCGTCCTCGTCCTTATGTTCCTCCTCCTCCCCCCCGCTTCCTTCGGCTGCTGATGTTTCTCTTCGACAAGATGCCCCGATCTCATCATCATCATCATCATCATCATCATCATCATCATCATCATCATCATCAGCATCAGCATCAGCATCAGCATCAGCATCAGCATCATCATCATCAGCAGCAGCATCAGCATCAGCATCAGCATCAGCATCAGCATCAGCATCAGCATCATTATCCTCGTCATCATCATAATCATGATCGTCATCATCGTCATCATCGTCATCATCATCATCAGCATCATCATCATCATCAGCATCATCATCATCATCATCATCATCGTCATCATCATCATCATCATCATCATCATCATCATCATCATCATCATCATCATCATCATCATCAGCATCAGCATCATCATCATCATCATCATCATCATCATCATCATCATCATTCAGCATCAGCATCATCATCAGCAGCAGCATCACCATTACCATAATCAGCGTCATCATCAACATCATCATCATCAGCAGCAGCATCATTACCATCAGCTTCAGCATCAGCATCAGCATCATCAGATGCAGCATCGTCAGCATCCTCAGCATCATCAGCATCAGCAGCATCATCATCAAGACCATCATCGTAATCATCATCATCGTCATCATCATCATCAGTATCGTCATCAGCATCATCATCGTCATCATATTCTTATCATCCGCATCATCAGCAGCATCATCATTAGCAGCGGCAGCATCGCCATTAGAAGCAGCCGCATCACAACCAGCATTATCGTCAGCTGCATCAGCATCATCATCTGCATTAATCGTCAGCATCGCCACTGCCACCACCATCCCCAACACCATCACCACAAGCACGATCAAGATCACGATCACAATCACCACCATCACCACCACCACCACCATCATATCATCATCATCATCATCATCATCAGCATCATCAGCAGCAGCATCATCATCATCACCAGCACCATTATCATCACCATCAACATCCCCACCCTCAGTTCGACCGTTTCTGCCATCGTCAACATCATCGTCCTTCTAAGCATGGTCACGCACATTCTCTTCCTTCTCCTCCTCAACCTTTCCCCACATGCACACACACACACACACACGCACTCCTCCTCATCATCCTCCCTCTCCTCCTCCTCCTCCTCCTCCTCTTCCTCCTCCTCCTCGTCCTCCTCCGCCTCCGCCTCCGCCTCCGCCTCCGCCTCCTCCTCCTCCTCGGCCTCGGCCTCGGCCTCGGCCTCCTCCTCCTCCATCTCGGTGTCTTACATGCTCTCCCTCCTGATCGAACCCCCACACAGTAAACCTCACACCGAGGAAGGAACCGAGGGAGAGCAAGAGAGCGGAGAGAACAGGAGAGGGAAGAGGATGCGAAGAAGAGGAGGAGGGAGGGAGAGGGGTGGCGCGGATGAGATACGCAGAGGGAGGAGGAAGAGGGAGCGAGCAGCGGAGAGAGGGACGTGAGGGAGGGGGAAGGGGGAGGACGAAAACAGAAGGGAGGGAGGGAAGAGGGGGAAAGGGGCTCCTGTCGACTGGTCACCCTGGGCGCCTACGACCCCTGAGACGTCCCCCCCGCTCTCTCCGAGCTCCCCCTCGAGTTCCCCCTCTCTTCCTCCCCCCCGTCCCCCCGGAGCCCCCCTCGAGTTCGCACCTCCCTCAATGACCCAATCCCCTCCCCAAGCCCTCACCCGAACCGCCTCACCCCGGGAGGATGGCTGAGACCCCCTACCACCCCAACCGTTGCGCACTTGCACCCCATCCCCAACGGGCTTCCTGCCGTCTCCCCCTGGGCATGGGACAGAGCAGTGGATCCTGAGAGGCACCTGGACAATCGGGCTGCCTTGTTGCGTCCTCCTCCCACCCCTCGAACCCCCCCTCCTCGAATGATGATATGAAACCTGCGGCTGCGACAGCAATGATAACAACGATGGGCAATTCTACACACTGTTCTCATGAAAAGATAGCGGTCAACGTATTGAACATGCTGCGTATCGTGAAACGTTGCTTGTAGTGTAAAGAGGTATGTATACACAGAGAGAGAGGAAAGCACAAGAAACAAAAAATAGAAAATGAAAAGACGAAAGACTATAACGATACTAGTAACACGCAAAGTGTAATAGAACGACTGACGATGACGATAAAAAACACTAAGAACAAACAAATGTACACACACACAACTTAAAATCACACCAGCCCTTTGGGCGTGAGTGGTTTAGAGAGCCCGCTCTGTTCTCAACCCCCCTTCTTCCCCTTCGGGGAAGGGTTTACCCCTCCCCCCACCCCCTCCCCCTGGACCTGGACAGGGAGTCCGGGGTGGTGTCAGGGGGGTCAATTTCGACTCCTGGGAGGGCTAAAAAACGACGACCCTCACGAGGATTCTGGCCCCGACGGGGGGAGGGAGTTTGGCCCCTCTGCTCGTCTGTGAAGCCAAAAACATTGATTTTACTAGGGTGTTGGCCCCATTTTGGCGTCCTGAGGGGGCAGCGCTCATCGTCCTTTATAGCAAAATCATTGATTTTACTAAGGTTTTCGGCTCATTTTGTCCTTCTCAGGGGGCAGCTCTCATTTGCGCTTCTGAGGAGGTCGCAAGAGGCCCCAAGATGGCCCCAAGAGGCCCCCAGGAGGCTCCCAAGAGGCCTCCAAGAGGCCCCCCAGAGGCCCCCAAGCGGCCCCAAGAGGCCCCCAAGAGGCCCCCAAGAGGCCCCCAAGAGGCCCCAGAGGCCCCAAGAGGCCCCCAAGAGGCCCCCAAGAGGCCCCCAAGAGGCCCCCAAGAGGCCCCAAGAGGCTCCAAGAGGCCCCCAAGAGGCCCCACGAGGAGCCCGAACGACTCACACCAGGACGAGGGGCCCGAACGACTCACACCACGAAGAGCCCGAACGACTCACACCACAAGGAGGGGACCGAACGACTCACACCAGGACGAGGCGCCCGAACGACTCACACCACGAGGAGCCCGAACGACTCACACACGAGGAGCGCTTTCTCTCCCTCCTCCTCCGCCTCGTCCTTCTCCCGCTCCCCCCACAAGGAGGATGT